TAATATAAATTATATATATATACATTCAATCATTATCAAATCTTCTTTAAAAATCAGTTAAAGTTGACTTTGCCATTGCTTATCAATACGGTATTTTACAACTAATCAATTTCAATACTTTTATTGAAACGTCAAAAACAATATTCTTCTATGTATTTGTGATTTTGTACCAAAAACTAACTTGTGACGTTATCATATTTTCGAGTCAAATAGCATCCTTATTTCTGAAATGAATTGCTAGAATAAATAAAAAATTTAGTATATCGTCAAATATATAAACGAAATTGTAATTATTTTTGAATACTTCATTCGATTGAAAAATAATTTATGTTTAACCCAGGGAAATATCCAATTGACAGTAATTATTTCCGCAGTTTCTGTCCCTATTTTCTGTTTACAGGAAATTGAGGTATGTATACCGACATATTATATTGTTATTGGATCACTTTCAACTAAATCGAAATTTTATTTGATTAAATAGTGCGGATCAAAATTACAACGATAAGTTTCAATCAGTAACATGATACAGTATTTTAAAAACAATATGTTGCAATCATAATGCTATAATTCAACTGTTAGCTATTTACTAACATCATTAAGTGCACATTAAATAAAGTATATTTGATAACAATACATTATAAGACCATGCCTATGCTTAAGTGTTCATACTATAAGTATTAATAGACACCGGTGCCGTGTCGTGATGGCCCGGAGGTTAAGAGGCGCCCGCCTCTCATGTAGGTTCGAAACCTACCATCGGCGAAGTACCAATGTAACTTTTTCCGAGTTACTTGAAAGGTGACACTGACAAATGGTGAAGGAAAGCATCGTGAGAAAACTTGAGCTTATAATTTTTAATCACAAGTTTGAACTTGTCAACTTGGATTCAGCAAGCGTAGTGATAGATGCGCAATCCTTTTGTTTGTCAGAAGACGCCTTTGGTGAGTAGTGGTCATTTATAGGCTGTCGATGTGATATATAATAGAGACCGCAACCCATATATTAACATGAAGTAGCAATGAATAACTGACGTTGATTGTATTACGTCTTGTAATTCTATATACTTATGTGAGAGATGCTGTCATACGTAGGTATATAATACAAAGTGAATGGTATGCCGTAATATTATGTTGCTGTACATCTACATTATACGTTGTTGAATGTACGTTTGCCCGTCCTTGACTACATCAAGTAATATAATATTTGCCAATCTCAGTTCAGTACTTGGAATTTCGAACATAATATTACTGCATACTAATTAGTAGCAATCGGAGATTGCACGCGGATATGTGTACGGAGGTAAACGTGTGCATAGAAAGTCGGTTAATTCAAACTTGGGAGGGCTATTTTGTAATTTATATATAGGTATTTTTTTAAGGGGGGAAAATCATCGATTGTCTGCTCCCACCTGGGTGAGGCGGGAGGGAGTGTCAGACTCTTACTGACTAAAAACCACCCCGTTCCTTCTCCTGCACGTCGAGCCGGAGCCCCGGTTACCCGTTAGGTTCTCCGCGACTCCGAATCGGCATCAGCCCTATTGGGCCCCATCTGTGGTGGTCTGATGGCTCTTAGAGGCGCGCGCGGAACGCGACGCGCCGTACGCTCGGGTCTGTTTCTGGTCGGACGGGGAGCCACCCATGCTCGCCGTCCGCAGGCCCGCGCTTACGGTGGCTAGATATACCTACCACAGTTTACTTTAATGTCAGAATCGTTCAAGACGCTGTCCTATATATATTTTAAATGCGAAAGTTTGTGAGGATGCGTGTGTATCACCCTTTCTCGGCGAAACGGCTGAAGGGATCGGCATGAAATTTAGAACTGTGGTAGATTATGTTCTGGAAAAGGCTACTTTTTAACCCACGGGCGAAGCCGCTGGGCTAGTTTGCTAGTTGTCCTCATACATTTTATTTATGTGTTCTTTCATATTTAGAAAGACAGTCATAATCAATATTAGCAGCTCGTGCTAGTCCTCTTCTAGATTATAAGCCTCCTCTCCATAAAAAAGATTTCCGACAATTCTCATGCACGGTTCCGACGGATATCGCAGTTAAAAAGATTCTAGTTTATTAAAAACAGAACTTGAAAACTATTTTTATCTATACCGTATTCTCTTACAATCTTATTACAATACACTTTAAAAATCAAAAGGGTCTAGAACAGAAACAGTTTTCAAAATATTATATTCATTAAAATCGTTAACTGCACTAACAACCCAATTATAAACTCTAATACTGAAGTTTCGTAACAAAAACCTGTACTTCAATCTGTGGTCTAACATACACATACACCCATATAATACAATGTATTAGTTAGTTGTTTAGTTGCACCAAAATGTGTGCACGTACTGTACGTGCAACTAACATTCCAATGTAGACAAGATAGTAGACTAAAATTATTAGGTGCATACAAATGACAGTGGGAAATCCCTGTCTCAACAATGGCTGACTTCGCGACCGAACTCTGGACTTTCGACGTGAGCTCGGTCGCATTCTCTCCCGTCATTGGTCGAGAATATTCTCATGACATGACATGGTGGACCGCGATTGAAATCAGTTCGATGTTTTTAATTGAATGTTACTGAATAGCTTGCTGTAATGTACGATTCACATAGGTACTGCATACAGGAACGGATCATGATTATCTAGTCCTAAAACTGATTAGTGCTGACGCCTTTAGAAAAATCGTCAGTGAAGATTAAACCGCAAATCCTCGATAACTTTGAAATGGGGGCTTTGTTCATCAAAGAAAATCACTTATCTGCTGATAAAAAGATGGTCTACAGGTCCTGCATGGTTGGCGCGGGGGCTGGGTAACCGGCCGCCGAGTAGAGGGGGTGGAGCGAATTCGATTCCTGCGCGGAGATAACACAGGAGAAAATCCTAGTGTGGGGCAACGCTTTTTAAAGAAGAAAAAATAGTGTTATACATATGTTCGAAACTAGATATGAAACAATGTCAAAAAATAATAGATATTCGGTAAGTTTGGTAGTAAACCATATTCATGCCTTTTTGAGACCCTTAGAAAAGAATACTATTGTTGTCGCTTGGCAACGTTCCAGTTAATTATACAGGGTGTTTTGTGCATCGTGGTCGACAGAAGGGGTCATCTGCTAGCCTTTGCGGCCTCTTAACACCCACCATGGTCTGTAGATTTCGACTTTATTGTTTCATTAAAAAAACAACCGAATATATTTGAAAATGAATTTTACAAATGTACATAAAAATGAACTGCTGTTCGTTAGTCTCGTAAAAACTCGAGAACGGCTGAACCGAGGTACGAAGTTAGCCGGGTCAGCTAGTATTCAAAAACAAATTTAAAAAAGGTATAAAGCGCACACTCTATTTCTATTTGGTACACGATGTACCAAACACCCAGTATTATAGTGTAGGTACATGTACGAGGGTACACCCATCAGCTAAAGTAAGTATCTGTATAGAGATTCATCCTTCGTCCCCAGGCAGTGCTCACAGGAACTTGTAGCGAATCCTTCGAATGCCATCGCAAGGAGCACGCCGAATTCAATGACTAAGTTTTTATATGTATTATGTGTTGTCGTATCGTATGTATGTCCGTCCACGGAAAGTTTGAAGAATGAATTAACCGAGAGCTTCATGCTTAATCTAATCTCAATCCTGTTTATTTATTTGTATGGGTCTCTTTTATTTCTATTAAGGAGTTATGACAATTCTTTGCACGTTTTGGATTTAAGAAAATATTTATGCTGAAAATCCTGGGAAGTTGGTTGTGATTGGCATTAATTATTAACTCAATAAGAAATGCTGCTTTATATTGCGCGTTCCACATTCAATTATAGAAACAGATGTGTGAATGGAGAAGCCAATTGGAAAGTAATTATTTACGGAGTTTGATCTTTGTTTTGAGGAGAGAATAATCATCGAATGACCCTGCGTGACCTCCGTGGGACGTAAGGGAACGTCTAATTCTCATGACTTCTAGTCATGAGAATTAGACCACACTGATATACTCGTAGTCGCAGTTTGGTCTATCCCTAGATAGGGCACGATATATTTCGGAATTTCACATGATTAAAGTTTAGCTGTGTTTTATGAACAATAAAGGTTCCTTTCGTAGACTCTGACTACTTGAACTAGTATATGTATAGCTAGTAAAGCTTATTATCAAATTAATGTAACGGATTTTTAATTTTATTGCCTTTAAAATATAAATGAAAATGTACTACAACAAAAGTTCGAACAACAAAACAGTAGAGAGTAGGAACACTAGCAACAAATAGCTTTTAGAAACGATAGTCATCTGTACAATACTCTGTTTACATTGACGCATTAATGCGGCGTGCAATTCTTTGCTCTAAATTCAAACTAAAATATTAGCCATGACTACAAATTATGATTGACCACGATACTCGAGAAAGCGAGAAAGTATTTAGCTCCAGTAATGCTTGGCAAACGACGGTATTACTCACAAGTCATACACCACACGTAGTGATGTAGTCAACATACATACATCTATATGTCTACACATACACACGATCACGCCGCATGGACTCCTACAACGTCTATCTATCGATCGATAGCGAATTCATATTGCCAACCAAAAAAACATCGACGTAAAAGAAATGTTTAATAGCTGCATTAAAAATTTAAAAATATTGTGAAGCACAAACATTCCTGTTCACCTCGCAGCAACGGGAAGCTCTGCATCCCGTTTGTATTTTTAATAACTCCTCGTTCATACACTGTACTAGACATTTTTCTATTACGAAATGCCCCAAATTATAATAACAGTAAGCGGCGAAGTGTCAAGTGTCTGTGCTAGCTTCCTGGTGCTGTATTTATAATCGACACACGAAAAACAAACAACGCTTGCCGGCGCGGCAGCACAGCGCCCGCGCAGCTCCGTCTCACCTAACCTATATGCTATCGCGTCGAACACTGCCCGATCTATTGTGATCGTAGTACAGGACTAAATTATAACCTAAATCTGCGTCCGTCTGGACCGAAAGTATGCGAAACACGTACCATTGATAGTTGAACGGTGGTGAGCCGGTAGGAACAGGCAGGACGAGGGTCGCGTCGCTCCCGGGTGCCGCCCTGACGGTGAACAGCCCGTTGGCAGGGAACGACGGGGGCTCCATAGGGCTCCAGTCCTCTCGGGCCGCGCGCGACTTGCCGTGTGCGCGCGACGACGCCCGCCCGCCGCCTATCTAAAAATAATACGGAAAAATGTAACGCGCGCGCCACCGAAATTCGTACGACGCGAATATTTTGCCAATACCACTATGTTCAAATTTTGTACGCGATCAGCTGATCGCCTGGCTCGCAGGAGTTTTACACGGGCCCGGGATCTTTTACAACCGGTTGCTTCTACAAAGCGCGGTGGCGGACTGAATGTCTGTAACTCAACCTTTGATGTGGATAAACATTTACGAAAATATAGTTATCTACATAATAATACTGATATAACTATTTGGGGTTTAGGATTTCGAAGTCAATATTTAATTACGCTAACCTTTCAAATACAGACATAAATGAATAATATTTCAGAGAATTTATTCGCTTTTAAATATTTTTGATATCTTCAATTAAAGCACTCCATTTACACAATAGTAAAATCTCGAACCATCTTGATTTTACTTCTTGAAAATCTATTATCGGCTGTTGGATGAAATCGGAAAAAGGTATCTTATCGTATCTTTAGGCCTTTCAGGTAAACTTTTAAAAGCTTTCATACACCACTGGATTCTCATACTTACTATTATATTTTACAAACATAGGTATCTAACACTTATTTAGGTAATGTGTTACCAACCAATATCATAAAATAAATTAATTTGAATTAGATTTTTTCATAATTATTATTTAAAACAATATTAGGCCATATCATCGCTAACTACCTAACAGGCAAGATAGTGATCACCCATTACCGAAAAAAAATATTATGCCCCTGTGGTATTATATAGAGTGCGTCTCACTAACTATATTTATTGCTCATCGTCAGACGATAGGCGCTAACATGATTAGTTGATTTAATATGCTACATCGATAATATTGATTTTACTCGCGTATTTTTTAATATAATTACACAGATAACCTCCACACTATCCTTGGCCACCTAGGTGTCCAGGTATACCTATGATATCAAAGATCGAGCACTATGCATCAAACATCTACAATCTCAAACGTTAATCTTATTGAATAGTTATTTAATCAAAAGTTCAACGTTTGCCTACCTACAACATCATAAATAAACATACACTCAATAGGCAGGCATATGTAATAAATATTTGTGAATACTTCACTTCATAATCGAATACCGCACAAAATACAGAAAGTTTAATACTAAAGTTTTTTATTGTATTTTATACGGCAGGTACTTATTTCTTTCAAATTTATTTGTATGCAAAAATGTATATTGTAATAAACTTACTATATTAATTAATAATAATATCTAACAATAATGTTATACGTATAAATGGTAGTCGTATATAAAATATTATTGACATATTAATATACCTGATGCCTGCGGCTGCGCTCGTGTGAATTAAGGACTTTATGACTTACCTACGAAATCCCAATCCCCATTTTCACTTTCCTTCTTCTTTTCTTCTCTTCCCTTCACTTCCCACTTTCAGTGTTTCATCCTGCCAACTTCGACCTTTATTGAGGAATGTTTTTAAAACTCCTGAAAACGTATTAACTTGTTTAATATCATTGGCCTGAATACGATGTTTAGTGTTGCTCTGATGGAAAATAATGTAAATACCATACAAACTTTCAATCCCAATTTGATTATTTCTTAAGTTTTCCAAAAATCTTGAAACATGTATCTCTTTATTTTACGTTAACAACCGAAATATAAAACTATGTTTATGTCCATTTAAAAATGAAGAACCTCCGTACTTACTCTTCCTCTAATGTGATCCTTAATGGTTGCAAAATTTTTAATTACTTTCTTAGTTCTTTAAAATCTCTGCTTTCCTTTCTTACTTTCGTGATATACAGGACCTACGTTGTGATGAAGAGTGACAAAAATCATTTCCATGCATGTTCTACGATTTCGCGTAATTTTCGAGTTATAATTTTTTAATGATTTCTTTCGTAATTTGCACCTAACATCAGTTTTCGATTTTTTCTCATTTTGTTGGACGTTGCTGGTTCAGTTGCTTTATGATAACTAACTAATATAGTCTAACCAAGCATACTTGACTGTCCACTCAAACCTTGACTCATAAACATAACATCACGTCTTTTATCCTCGAAGGGGTAGGCAGAGGTGCACATTATGCCACTGTACAATGTAACACCCACTTTTCACTATTTATGCTATGAGTCCCATGTAATAGGGGCTGAACCTTGAGTCATAATGTAGGTAATCTGTTAGCATAAATAAATTAGTGATTTTACATATGAAAATGTCAAGAAAACTCTTTACTTATGTTCGGGCATTATTAGCCATTGAAGCAGTCGGTTTAGCTATTATGCTTGTTTGATATGGTGCGTCCACACCTGCCGCTTTGACAGTAGTACACATGAAATATTATTGCTAAACCATTCATACTTTGTATTTGTAATAGGTATAATGTCAGGGTACGAAAATTAAAAGTCCGTCAGTTAGATAATTAGAAAATTTTAGACACGTATTTTTTATTTTGATGTATAATAAAATTATACTTAGATAAAATGAATCAAAGTTTAGGAGTGGGGGCTAAAACGTCATTTCTACATGTAAAATGTAAATAGAAGTGACGTCACGCGACATTTCAAATCAATATATTGCCGAAAGTATTCGTTTTTTAAGAAAATAAAAAGATACTTGTGTAATGTTTTAAAATAATCTACAAGACGAACATTAATATGAAAATTAGGCATCTAATCTG